GCATCTCTCACAACACAGTACTGTGCCAGAAACTCTTATCTCAGGTGCTGGACCAATTGTTCCTGCTTGTGATTCTGAGCAACCCCAGAAAGAAACTAATCTGAAACTAACGGGTTCATGGGTTTAGAAATAGCACAGTTTATTGTATCTGTGTCACTAATACATACACATAAATCCCCATCTTACCAAGCTTTACAAATATTGAAAAAGGCAAGGGTTGCTACACAATATTTGCTTTTCACAAGGAAATAGCTAAAGATTGTTTTACTACTTTATTTTCCCCTGTAAATGGCAAACACAAATTATTTATACACTTAAGGTAAACAAAAAAAGAGAAGAATTTAATGAAATTGCCAGTTAATTCAAATTTTCCTCAATTCTAGTTAATTGAATTCTCAGACACTGCACAGTTTGTATAAAACACTAGCACAGATTATTTCCTCCGCTTGATAAGCTGCAGGTCCTTCCAGAAGAAATTACTAATTAACACGAACTCCATTATCCATTTGGTTTACCTATCAGGAGTCAGTGTTGAATACTGTTCTTATGCAGGACTCTAGACTTCGCTTTTATTGTCTGATTCACACATTTGTATCTACGACTGCAAGAGAAGGAACAAGACTTGAAGTGCCTGGGATTTGAGTCCTTCAGTTGTAAACTCTTTTATACATCAGCAATTGGGGACAGCATTTTATGTGTTGCTGGCACTCTTACATAGAGTAAGATCTATCTCCATACAGTTACCCATCATCCTTGTAATTGTTGCACAACTGCTAAAGATGTAGTTTGCATTTTTAGGCACCTTCTCTTCCAGCTACATGGATTGCTCCCACCAGCATTTAAACAGCAGCAGTAGAAAAAGTAAGAGAGAAATGTGTGGAAGCCCTTGCAGACACTGCCAAAAGCCTGTGTTTTCTTGCACAGGAAACAATCTCCTTCATTATTTGTTATTCATCTATCTTTTCCTCCAAAATAAAAAACCCAAGGGAGCAGGAGATCAAAAAATTAGGAGAGAAACACTTGAGCTGAAATTAAACGATTTTAAAAAGAAACCTGTCTGGAGGTTTGAGAACTAGGAATGAGAAAAAATGTATGAAGACATGAGCCAGCAATGTGTCTTCATGGCCAAGAAGGCCAAGGGGATTCTGTGGCGCATAAAAAAGAGTGAGGCCAGTAGGTCAAGGGAGGTGATCCTCCCCATCTACTCTGCCCTGGTGAAGCTATATCTGGAGTACTGTATCTGGGCTCCTCAGTTCAAGAAAGACAGAGATCTCCTAGACAGAGTCCAGCAGATTCCCGTATGAGGAAGGTTGAGAAGGTTGGGGCTGTTTAGCCTGGAGAAGATTGAGGGAGTCCCCAGGGAATCTTAGCAGGGAATCTTACCAATGCTTATAAATATCTAATGGGCAGGTTTCAAGCAGATGGGGCCAAGCTCTTCTCAGTGATAACCAGTGACAGGACAAGGGGCAATGGGCACAGACTGGAACACAAAACGTTTCATCTGGACATAAGAAAAATATATTTACTTTGAGGTTGACAGAGTACCACAACAGGCTGCAAAGTGAAGTTGTGGAGTCCTCTTCTCTGGAGATAATCATAACCTACCTGAACACTATCCTATGCAACGTACTATAAGGAATCATATTTAATAGGGGAGTTGGGCTTGATGGTATCCAGAGGTCCCTTCCAACCCTTGTAATTTTATGAATACTGCATACCATTTCCGCTAGGTGACTAATGATTTTGAATTCTTCGCTTTTTGGATACCAGCTCCAGAACTACTGAAGAGCCTGACAGTGCTCAGTGCCTGGCCTCAGAAAACCTAGTATCATCAGTGAACTTCTATTGGACACAGAATTACTAATTGGTTTTGAGAAGCATTAATCTTTGTGAATGTGCCCCCTAGAAAGTAAAAATTTGTCTTTCTATACTCTTTCTTGCCTATTTTTTATGCTTCTATGGTTATTCTATCTGCCAATCAGCTGCATCAAATGGATTCTGCAGTTGCGGTTTAGCATAGAAATTTTAATTAGTATGGAATAAACTGAGAGATTAGCTCAGTAAAGTAATTTATAAGTAAATCAATGTATGAAGGAAGCATAATCTTGTGAATTTTCCACACTTTATGGGTGGGCTGCTGATAAACTCCAAACTTAGAGCTAGACCTTATTTTGCTTGTGGATACCCAAGTTGTATCTGCTGTCAGGTTGATTCAGGTTTTAGTGGAATCCATTAAAAATATGTTATTTGCACAAAAGAACCCCAGCCCATTTCCTTCTGCCACTTGAATCTGACAGATGTTCAAAAAGCCTTGAAAATCCCTGGAGATAGAATACAGGCAAATAAAACTGAGGGCAAAACCCTAGCTCCATAAAAATAAATGGAAATTTTTCCACTGCTATCCACGAAACGAAGAGATCACACTAAGGGGCTTTGTATTGAGCACTTCTCTTTCTAAAAGCAGACGTTATGCATCAGATCTTTCATGGCGAAGCTAATTTATAATCTGGTCAGGATCTGTGTACGGGTGTGTACATTCATATGGTTGCCATGAAAATTTTCTACCAGCCAATCACTACTGCAGTGTAGAATGGAAGCCAGCGGAGTAGCTAATTACTCTCAATAAGATAAATCTGCTAGCATGATTAATGCCTGTTTCACCAATCACTGCAGTCATTTCAGCTGCAATCTCAGGAAAGAATTTCTAGGGATGACTCTTCTGGGATTTTCTCTTTTTTCCTTTTGCTGTTCTACTAGCAATGTTTCATTCCTCATTCTCAGAGGCATTTCGCTGGGCTTCCAAGTACCAGCAGTGACAGCCCTAAGTATGAAATGATTTACACAATGGAACAGGTTGCCCAGAGAGGATGTGGATGCCCCCATGTCTGGAGGCATTCAAGGCCAGGCTGGATGTGGCTCTGGGCAGCCTGGTCTGGTGGTTGGTGACCTTGCCCATAGTAGGGGGGTTGAAACTAGATGATCATTGTGGTCCTTTTCAACCCAGGGCATTCTATGGTTCTATGATTGCCACGGTAATGGTGCAGCACCATCCTCTTCCATAACACCATTCATCTGCAGACCCCTACTTCTGGAAGGAGGCACCATCAGCACTGTTTAACAGGTGACTAAATCTGGATGTTGCAGTAACACAACAAAAAAAGCTTAGCTAAAGGACACTGATTTTGTCAGTGAAGATGTGACTCAGCACTCACTGAACTTAGCTGAAAAGCTAACATCCATTTGGATCAGACTGACGAAGAAGGAAAAGAGTCAAAGAAAACTTTGCTAAGGAGATTGCTAATCTCCTTTCTCCCTTTCCAGCTGTATTGAAAATAAAGATCTTTGCACCTACTCAGAAATTTACTTTAATCTCTAAACTGTTATTATTAAAAAAAAATCACAGAATGGTCAGGGTTGGAAGGGACCCCAAGGATCACAAATCTCCAACCCTCTACCACAGGCAGGGCCACCAACCTCCACATTTAATACCAGACCAGGCTGCCCAGGGCCCCATCCAACCTGGCCTTGAACACCTCCAGGGACAGGGCATCCACAACCTCTCTGGGCAGCCTGTTCCAGCACCTCACCACTCTCTCTGTAAAGAACTTCCCCAGATATCCAACCTAAATCTCCCCTCCCTCAACTTAAAACCATCTCCCCTTGTCCTGCTGTTACCAACCCTTTGAAAGAGTTGATTCCTTTCCTGTTTGTAGGCTCTCTTTAGGTATTGAAAGGCTGCAACGAAGTCATCCCACAGCCTTCTTTTCTCCAGGCTGAACAAGCCCAGTTCCCTCAGCCTGTCCTCATAGGGGAGGTGCTCCAGTCCCCTGATCATCTTTGTGGTTCTCCTCTGGACCCTTTCCAACAGATCTCTGTCTTTTTCTCTGTCTATACTGGGGGCTCCAGACCTGGACACAGTACTCCAGATGGGGCCTCACAAGAGCAGAGTAGGGGGGGACAATCACCTCCCTGTCCCTGCTGGCCTCTCCTCTTCTGATGGAGCCCAGGATACCATTTGCCTTCCGAGCCGCAAGAGCACACTGCTGGCTCATGTTAAGTTTTTCATCTATCAAGACCCCCAGGTCCTTCTCTGCAGGGCTGCTCTCAAGGGCCGCTCCTTCCAGTCAGTATGGATGCCTGGGATTCCTCCAGCCTGAGTGCAACTTCACACTTTGCCACGTTGAATCTCATCATGTTCAGCCAGGCCCACCTTTCTAGCCTGTTGAGGTCCCTCTGAATGGCATCCCTTCCTTCCACCGTGTCAACCGCACCACTCAGCTTGGTGCCATCAGCAAACTTGCTGAGGGTGCACTCGATTCCATCATCGATGTCACTGATAAAGATGTTGAAGAGCACCAGTCCCAACACAGACCCCTGGGGGACGCCGCTTGTTATTGGCCTCCACGTGGACATAGAGCCATTGATGACCACCCTCTGTCTGCCAGTTTCAACAAATTTCTTATCCATCGAGTGGCCCACCCATCAAATCCACATCTCTCCAATTTGGAGATAAGGATGTGGTGGGGGACCACGTCAAAGGCCTTGCTCAAGTCCAGGTAAATGACATCAATAAAAATGAAAAATAATATAAAATAATAAATAATTAAAACTATTTAGAAAAATAATAGTGTTGAGTATTTGGCTCACTGTTCATATAACATTTACAGTGAAGATAATGGCTATGCAATGACTTTTATGTAATGCCTGTTTATTCTGATGAATATCCATTCACCTTACAAATGAATGGATAGATGCTGTCATTTCATCTGTAATTTTGGTGACTGCTTTAGGCCAAAAGCTTCTTTTCTTTATTGGTACTGTATGGGGACCACTGAATCATGGCCTGAACCTCTGATTGATCACCTGAGGCGAGCAATGAGTCAGCCATGGGAGCACAGGTGAAGGCAATTCACCTGTGCTGCTGGAAGGGGTGGAGCCTGGCTCCACCTCTCCTAGACCCATTTAAGAGCTGACTGCCAGCAGGGAAGGTTTCTCTTCTGGAGATCCATTGCACTGGAGTTACCTATGCAAGCCCAGGACAGGGTGAGTGTCCTTTTCTGCTTAGTATAATACTTACATAAGCCAAGCTCTCGAATATACTGTATCATCTGAATATTCATTTATTGTACAGGTGCATACACTACTATGGCATGTGGGAGGGAGACACGCAGACTATTCAAGAGCTGTTGCTTCCCTTATGTAGGGGCTGCAGTGAAGTGGTACAAGATACCCTTTCCAGTTTGCTGCTCAAGTCCTGCCAGGTGCTAAATAACTTCTTCTTTGTGTGAAATGAAAAAGAAGGAGTTGTTACTGTCATTTGCAGAAATTCTAGTCAGCTTTAAATGACAGAAGCAATTGTCTACCTTCACAAGCCTTCTTCAAATAACAATTCACCATGCCAAACAGACCTTGTGTGTAGCTCGTTGGGAAGAAGGGATTGTGTGAAAATTTTTTCTCTCCTTTTCCTTACTCCTGGGAGCAGTATTCCTTGGCAGCTATGAATAACAGGCAGCAGCACATGCTCCCTTCTTGTGGGAAGGAGGTCACCAAGAAAGGCTGGCAGACAAACAACCTCTGAGGCTTAGAATCCCCCGAATCCCCACAGAGATAGCGCGAAAGGCTATTGCACAGCAGTTGGCCTTGTCATACCTCCTTCACTACATCAGTGATGCTTTTTTTGCAAAGCATTTATGCATTAAATGCTTTGTATTGTAATGATTAAGACTGGACACACCAAGGGAGACCACAGCTCCACTGTGCCTATTAACAGATTTACACTAGTAGAAGCTGTCCTGGGGGAATGAAGGAACAGGGGGAAGGGGAAGGCAGCAATTCCTCCCACTGCACTTCTCCTGCACTTCCTCCAGCAATCTCTGGCTCAAGGGCTTCTTGAGCTACATGTGGTATTTTTGTGTTTGCACGTGTGAGAGTCCTGTGTACAAGGGGCTCTCAGTAGCTGCCAGCATCCGTTGCTGCAATTGTTCCCCTGTCAGTGCAGGACCTGCTGAGCTAAGCAGCAGCCTACAGTCTTTTGCCTATACCCTGATTTTGAGATGCAAAGAATCATAAGGCATGTTCATGTTCAAACAGGTTCTGAGTTATGATGCTTAGTCTGCCTTTGTAGCCAATTTTACTCCTGAAGCTGGCTAAGTTCCATTGCAGTGCTCTGGTTCAGTTTGCAACTATGGTTTGTGTCTGAAAGTGAGCCCAGAGCTCATGTGAATGGGATCTGTTTTCTTTTGAGACTATCTCAGATAGCAGTGCTCCCAAAGGAGCAACTTTGTGCCACTTGAAACAGCACTCCCTCCCTCCCAATGAAGCTTTTTATTCCAGATGACTTCGGTCATGGTCATGTGAGATGTTTTCTTCTAACAGAAAACAGCTCAGCCTGAACACAGGGCTCAGTATTTGTGAACTTTTTGCAGAAGTTTCAAATATACAGATGTAGAATATCCATACACTCAAGAAGCTGGCAAATTTCACCTTATCTCCAATAACAGAAGGAGAAGGAAACAAAAAAAAAAGGCTGGGAAGAGTACATCTGGTGCTGGGATCATGATCCAGTGCAAACCTCAGCCAGCAAAGCAGTTTCAGGAACTAAGATATACCTCTTGTGCAGCATGAAATCCAGAACTGTTCTACAAAAAATTTTGGTATGCTTATTGATGGAACAGAATACAAATGAGGTGAGTGACACATAGTAAAGATAGACCATACTCCCTGTATGCTGCATACACAGCATTCATGTTACTCTGCCCTGATAAAAACATCTGGGAGTCTGATTCACTTTTGGGAAGTGACAGTCTTTTTGTAGTGGAGAAATTAGGGAGTAAACACCATTTAACTGGACCTTTGTTATCAGAAAGTTGGCAAGCTCTCTTACCTTCAGACATGTTTCTTTTCCCACTTACACTGGCCTGAAGGATTTCTGGAAATATCACTCTGCTATCAGGTAATTTATTTGCTTAGGTTGATGTTTAGATTTAAAAACAATTAGCTATTTATATTGGCATTCCTTAGAGAGCAAGAAAATAAGTAAAATGAAATTAGTGCTCTGAGGACCTTTTTGACATTTCATTGTCAACAGAGCAGTAAGGAATGTCTGACAGAGCCTCAAGGCAAATGATTAAATTCTTTATCTGTCATGCCAAAAAAAGGCTACTCCTCTTGGTAGAAAGGCTGTATTTGCTGTTCGTCAAAGAGAAGGTGAAAAATAAATCCACGCCTAGAAGCTATAAAGCTTTGATCTCATGGTCTATTTCAGGATAAAAATAGTTCCTTTGGGTTGGGTAATAGATATTCCTCAAGTGTTGGTTATATTTATCACAGATTTCAGAAAATTGTTAATTCCTGCACTAAAAGCAATAGCATTTTCCCAGGAAACATGACTGCTGCAAAGGAAGCACTGTTAACGTCATATTCCTTTTCCACGTTACACAAGTTTCCCTCTATAAAGTCTATTATTTTAGATTTTCTACACTCGAGCAACTTTTGAATCAACCATTTTTTTATTTTAAGACTGGAACCCATTTTGGGAAGATGTTAAAAACTTGCAGAGAAAACACTCTGGAGACTGTGTTTTCATGAGCAGAAAGGTGACAAATCACAAGCTGTCATGAAAAAAATTGGATTGAGTATCAAAGGCCTTACCTTGGAGAAGAAAATGCTATAGACAAAATTGAAGCAGTGCAATCACAGTTGGGAGAACGTGAGGGAGTAGCAATTGTGAATCTTTGGAGCATTTATTCCCCTAGAAAAGGTCACATTATCAGAGATGAGTATAAATACCTTCCACCACTTGTGCCATATGCCAGAGAGGAGACACTAGGATTTGGGAACGTATATTATTTTATGTTAGAATAATTAATTGGCAGGAGATAAAAACATGCTGAAAAATATTTAGTTGTGTTAGCAGTAAATAAATGAAACGGGAAAAATATGAAGATGTACATCAGGGATGGCAAGAGACCTAAGCAAAGGGCATTGAAATGCTGTCTTCTTGGAAAAGGGGCCCTTCCAAAGCAGCGCTGTATGTGCTCAAGGCTGGTACAAAGTTTGGAAATACAGCTTTATTTTAAGAGAGAAATATATGAGACTGAGCCAAACTGAGTTTTTTCTTCATGTCCTGCCAGAATCATGATTAAAGAAATCAGAGTATTGTGTTTCTCTGCTTCAGCTGTATTAGTAGCTGCTTGCACTTAATCACAAAAATGTTAAATAAAAAGCTCATTGGCAAGTTCCCTGTGAAGAGCTGTTCTGGCTTCTTTGAGGCGTTGTCTGGTTTCAGAAGTCCCCATGAGTGGGCTTCACTGTGCCCACAGCACCCAGCCGCAGGGCAGGCCTCCACGTGTGGGGCAGGCCTTGCAGCCTGCCTCAGCAAGCCAGCTAAACAGGGCATCTCATCTCTCAGTGACGCTCCTTTGTATTTCAGAAATGAACAAACAAACTCTAGCAAACCCAGAAAGCATCTGGCAAGTACTGCAAACAACAGGGAGGGAGAGGGAGCATGAGATCTCCTTGCAGGTCGGAGGTGAAGTCGAGTGTAAGACCGATGTGGAGGAACTTACAGAGCATTTGTTGGCAGTAGCAAAGCCCTTGGCTGCCTTTCTGCTGGATGAGTTCCTAAATCCACTCATCTGTTTTGGAAAGGACAAGGCAACGCTTCTAGAGTTAATCATAACCAATTTATGCTTCCAAAAGTGTCAGCACGTGATATATAGAGTGCATTTTCTTGACTAGCTTGTCCTCTGGAACACAATGGCTTATTTTTATTGTTTTTATTGCAGTGTGAATATTGCCTCACGACTGGAATGAATAACAACTTCCTTATTTAATTAAGCCGTTTGAGATTTGCATTTGTGCTCACTGAAGCCATCTCTCGTTTCCTGTGTTATCATGGCTGCACCTCAGCTCAGAGGAAGAGGTGAGTAAATTATTAAAAGATGGCTGCCTAATTATGAATTAATCCACCTCCTGGGAGTGCTAACTAAATGTAGTGGCTGGCATTTTTTGTGACACCAACCTTGTCACTGCCTGCACAGCTGCACCAGCTGGTTGGCTTGATCCCAGGATTCTCATATCTGCTCAGATAGCATATATTATGTGTAGATACTGCATCATGTGTGGAAATTATTTATGAGATCTTCCATTAAATGAATATTATAAAAGATATCTAAGCTGTGTTCTAGGGATTCATTGAAATCATCTGCATGTTTGGCTTGCAACATACAAATGAAGTGCCATTTGCACCTTGCCTACAAGAATTCAAAGCAGGTGAACTTCTGCAACATCACTGTGGTCTCCTGTGATGTACAGTGAAGCACTGTAGTGCTTCCTAGTGGCCTGGACTGTGGTGAGAATATTGACTGCCAACTGGTTGTCTTCCATTCTTCACTAACAATCCATGTGCTGTAGAATTGCAAGGAAGAGTTGCCTGTAACATTTTTATGTGAGGATTTATTAAATTTTCTTTTAGGGCCAACATTTTCAATTTTACATGTAGGAACAGCTACTCTGTGCAGGAAGATAGAACAGCAAATTGCATGGTATATTGCCACCCCCTTCCAGGGAAAGGCTGTGAAGTCTCCATCCTCAGAAACCCAAATCAATAAAAGCTTGGACAGTCTACTCTGACCAGCTGTGCCTGGGTAAGAGGGGTAGGACTAGATGATTTCCAGAGTTCCCACTCAGTCTCAACTACTCTGAGAAAATGAAGAGGTACTAACAAAGAAAGAATCCCTCAAACATAGTAAATGACCTAATACACTATTTCCCTGTGTAGGAAAATATTAAGTGAGAAACTATGAGAGGAAAGGGTGAGAGGCTGAGAAGACATTTCACATTTTAAGAAATCCTTCACTGTAAGGACTGTTTCCTTCAAATGCATAATATCCCTGTCTTCATTAGGTCAAGCTTCAACCTGAGAGAAATTACTCTGATTTATAAAATTACTTGCACTCTTCTGCATATCTAGAGTGTGCACAGCATACTCTGCCTTGTGTCTTTCATCTATAAGCAAAATTATGGCATGTAAAAATATACATGTAAATGATGAGTGGAGGTTTGCTCATACTCATGCATGGGATAGATTTTCAGTGGCACTGGAAACCTATCAGGCTACCTTCACAAACAAATCAGACAGACAGTCTGCCCAACACCCAGCAGAGCTATTTATTTCAGAAAATAGAAGCAGTCCTGCCACACACTGCTCAGTGTAATCTCTCAGACTTACCTTCAAACGGAGCTGGTACATCAGCTTCCTCAACCTGATCTTTGTTTTTTTTCTTGCCAGTCCTAACAAAATCACACTGAAGTGGTGCAGCTCTGGGCAGTTTTCAGATCTCAAGTGACTTAATGGAATTGGCATCTGTTTGTATGCTCCCACACCAGGCCACGGAAACTCTTCTGGAAACCCTGGAAATGAATGATGAAATGAATTCAATTTAAACAGCGTATATTATAAAAGGTGTTATTATGTGTCACTGGAGACATAATAATTTTGTCTCTCCATTTTGTCCCCCGAATTCTAGCCTTCCTAAAGTATATCCTGAAGCTTTGCATTAAATGGAAATGATTTGTTACTCTGTTGAAAGGGAATGTTCTGATGCATGTCTGATAAAGTCATCAAGAACACCTGTTATTGTGTGCCATAATGGTCCACCAGAGTGTTTGATTAGAGCATTATCCTTGTCATGTTGATGAGCTAAGGTATTATCTACCTCAAGAGGCTAAATGGAAGACTTGAAGGATAAAAAGGTCTGTTGTGCACTACGTGCATGATCTTGTGACTGAAAACATCGCGAGAGATTAAGACAGCTCACTAGATGTATGGAATGAGACAGTATGTGTAAATCAGCTTTGTTTACCAACATTGATATGTTGTGATTATTCTATCTAGCTTCACTTTAGCTTAAGAATAAACTAGGGAATACTCCAGCTGTGATATGATTGCTTTCTTGTTTACAACAAATGTTGCTTCCTTTATAAATGGAAAAAGGGACTGGTGTAGATAATGAGGTGTCTGTTTAGATCCTAAAATAAGAAGTTCAGTAGTGCTATTACATGTTAAGATTACTTCCAAGTTCCACCCATTTTCCAGGTCTTGACCTCCTCTAAGATTCTAAGACTCATTTTCCTAAAATGCCTGGGTTGGTGGGCCAGCTTTTCCATGTGGGTAATCAGCCTGAGAAATCCAGCTATTCCTGAAACCAAAGGACCTGCTCTTGTCCTCTGCTGCACTTTGTCAGTTTCATGCAGCATTTTCTCAAATGTTGCACTAGGAAAAAATAGAAGCAAAAGTATCACGTGGTACTTTGGGAAATATCAGTGAATATGCCTGGCTAGGTGCATACGAGGTGAGGAAAAGGCAAATAAAGAATTGCAGCCCCAGGAGTATTGCGACTAACGATGTTGGCTTGCTTCCTCCTTTCCTTTTATTGTTGCAACACTGATGTAATTGCCATCAATCTTTGACACTAAGCCTCAAATATATGTTTATCGTGCTAGATTTATGTATCGCTTTAAGAAAATGCTACTTTTTTTGGTGGTAGTACAGTTGTTATGGTGATTCCTCTACTTCCCTCTTTTAATGCAGGAAGCAGAGAACTAAATAAAGTATTTCTTTTATGAAATTTATAACAACAAAAACAAAAACAACAAAAACAAAAACCTGCTCTGAAGCTGTATCTTACAGAGAGATTTTTCAGAATACTTAACAATGTTTTTATTTTACATTATTTGAATTTTCACTCTGGAACTCAGATCTCTGTGGAATTATGTGGTAATAAGAAATGTATGGAAGGAAATGTATTTGTGCTGGCTATAGAGTTAGCATATTAAACAGCAGTTCCAGAAGTTCTTAATGGTATCCATTTGCATATTTTTCAGGTTTTAAGCAAGAAACAACCAACACGTTTCCTTCATTACAGTTTTTCACTTAGGGAAGAGTTGTTTCTAAAGCTGCCTTTGAGATGAAAGGGCCCATAACTGTACAAATTACTTAGTGTTTTATGTCAGCTCACAATTTTAAACAAATTTATCTCAGTATAACTGGCAAGTGTTGGATTTCTGCTTTATAACTAAGAAACTGAGGCAATCAGATGCGCAAGCTAAACCTGTTCTAGTTCTACAGTCAGTGAAGATTGATTGAAATTGCTAGAGTTCACTTTGTCTGTAAGCATGTGCTTTACTGGCTAAAGCTTCTAGGTGAAAATCAAGGATGGGCAGACCTGCAGAGTTCTTGATGCCACTTGGAATGTAACTTCACTGATGCTGAAGATGCACTCCGATGAAGCAGATGTGAAGGAGGCAGAGTGTGGTCTCCTGGAAGGAAGAGAGGGAGCTAATGGGGAAAAAGGGCTCAGGCACAAAGAGGGAGGGGGCTTGGGAAATTAAGAACTGTAAGTATTTGGGGGGAAAAAAAAAAAAAGAAAACACGAAGGGAAAAAAAAATTAAATAGCACATAAGTCAGGGTGCAGCTGGCGATATGCTCAGAGAAGAATGAGGGTCTGAAAATTGGCAAAAGTAAATCAGTCCCAGGAAATACACAGCCTAATAACGTTTCTCATACAAAAACACTAGAAGGTATTTGTGGTGAAATGTTGCATTTGAATTACTGTGAGAGGATAATTTTCCCAGAAGCAGTGTTATCATTTTATCAGCCTCCTATATGAAAGAATCACAGTGGAAGAGAAATGCTGAAGTTTTATTAGGAGCAGACTATCAGTGCAACTTTTTAATGAGCAATTTATCACCCTTACAAGCCCTGATTTTTATTAACCTCATCTATGGCTGAAGATGAATTACTTTCCCAATCTGAGGCTGGCAGTCATGAAACATCCCCTTATCAGCAGCAGGCCATTTGCTTAAAAGGCAGCTCTCATGGCAAGAGGTATCTGTTCTTCCTGGTGGTACTACAGCATGGGACAGATGCTGTGCCAGTGCCACCTGCTGAAATGCTCTCTTAGGAGATGTTAAGGTATACAAAATGGGCTTTCCAGGCAGTCCAGCAGGCTTGCACACTTCACATCTGCAGGCTGTGTATGAGAAGCCTTACATTTGTCTGGCTAAAGACACAGAAGTGCTCCTCTAAAGAAAGACCCTGACACTGGAGTCCTCCACGTCCACATGCAAGCACAGTTCCCATCCCACAGTGCTGTGTTTGTGCTAGTATGCTGAAAACACAACTCCTATGAGCCCCACACTCTTTCTTCCCAGCTCATTGCCCTTACTTTCCATAGCCACATATCATCTGACCATCAGCCAGGCTGAGGGAAGGGATTGTTCTGTTCTGTGCTGCTGCAGCCTCACTTTGAGCACTCTATGCAGGTTTGGGCACTACAATATAAGAACATAAAACTGTTTGAGAGTGTCTAAAGGAGGGCTACAGAGATGATGAAGGATCAAGAGGGCTATGTGTATGAGAAGAGGCTGAGGTCCCTTGGTTTGTTCGGCCCAGAGCAGAGGAGGCTGAGGGGAGCCCTTCTGGCAGCCTGCAGGATGGACCTAAGGGAATGGCTTGAAGCTGCATCAGTGGAGGGTTCAGGTTAGATACTAGGAAAAGAAAGAGTGGAGTGGGTATGGGGTCACACACTGGTCTTCTTCTGCCTTTGAACATTTCTAGCCTGCTATCTGTAAAGCCTCACAGCTGATACCTCCCTAATCTAAATCAATAGGAGACAGGTTTAAATTGATTTGAAAAGAAGACACGTGCAGCAAAATATCTTAAAATTCCTTTAAATATCTTAAAATTTACAGGCACTCAATTCAATTAGCTTGTATATTTCATATCACAATATTGTAATTACTATCTGTAAATATTTAACTGTCTTTTATAAAAAATTGATTTGTTTCAAGGAATATTAGGAAAAAGGAAAAAAAGACAACATCTTTCTACTGTATGATGATAAATTATTAGTTTAAGGAAAGAAAAAAATTGTAGCCTCTGAAATACGTGTACAGAAGGTAATGATTACTGTGGTGCATCCACTTAACCTGATCCAGTCATTCCTACTCATCATTCTGCTGCCAATCTATGGGAAAAATGAAGAAACAAAACCACAGCATACCACTAAGATAAAGAAGGCCTAAGTGAATTCTTTACACAGCTTCCATGAAGAAAAAAAAAATATTCTGGTTTTGATATGATTGAGTTGTTTCCAGGAAACTGTAGTAGGCATACACATAGGTCCAGAGAAAAGGAGATTACATTATCGGGTTGTAGTAAATCATTTTATTGTAATAACTGCTATTGGAGCAGATCACTCAAAATGTCCATTTTAATTTCAAATATCTCATCCAGTAATATCCAAATAGGACACTTTTGGCTACAAACACTACCAGCATCTTAACTGTTGTAGAGCATCACAGAGATATTAATAAAGGAGTAATTAGACCTGAAATAACAAATGAAATAAAGTGAAAAAACTGTAAATGATGTCTGATGAGAAAAAGAGTCTTTCTTTAAGAAACAGCACATGAGACACACCAATAAGATATATATTAAAAAAATCCTTCATTGTTTACTGCAACAGCAAACTAGTCAAACAGTAGAGATTAATCTGGTTTAGATGCACGTGAAAATACCAACAAGAATCTGTATTCCTCATTATGGAAGCAAAATTTTGGCAAGCAAATCTGAAACTCACTGCAACATAAAAACAGATCCCAACACATTGATGTACCACAGATATATCAAACCAGGGGGAAATGAAATTCAGCCTTCCACCTTCTGTGTTGTTGCCAAGGGATAGAAATATACCAGAGGTTGAAGAATCTCCGCCAGCCCTGGCCACTTATAGCCTAATGTATAATTAACTTTCACAGCTGGTTACTGGCTTTATCAGAAGCTTGGGGAAATAAAAAAATCATGTCTGTTGAATCTGGTTATGAATGTACTTTAAACACATCTCATTAAATCCATCTTGAGTTACCCCTGTTGCTATCCACGTTAGATGGCTTACAGAAAATACATGGAAACAGTACATCATGATTTATCTAGTCAATAAAAACAACTTCCCAGATCAGAATTGTTTTTGTCTTTACAGTGGTATGCAGCAACACAGATATCACGCTTTATTTCTGAATGTAGGCTTCAGTCCTACCTGCAATTACGCACATGCTCATAAATTTTGATCTCCTTCTATGATTGAGTTGCTCGCTTAGTGGATGCTCTCTACAACTCCCTGAAAGGAGATTGAGATGAAGTGCAGGTTGGCCTCTTTGCCCAAGTGATAGTGATAGAATGAGAAGTAATGGCCTCAAGTTGTGCCAGTGGAGGTTCAGATTGGATATTAGGAAAAATTTCTTCTCAGAAAAAGTGGTCATGAGCTGGAATCGCCTGCGCAGGAAGGTGTAGAGTCACCATCCATGGAGGTGTTGAAGAAATGTTTAGATGTACTAAGGAACATGGTTTAGTGGGGAAGTATTGGTGGTAGGTAAACAGTTGAACTGCATGATCGTGGAGATCTTTTCTGACCTTTATGGCTCTATGATTCGAAGTTACCAATGAGACTCACTCTACCTAAGAGTTTGGGCCTAGCCTGTTTACTCTCCATGGCCAAAACCATTATATTATACACACATTTGCTATCAAATCTCTAGTTCTGCAACATAATACTTCTCCCTAGAGATTGCCTGCAGTGAACTGAGGATTTTAATATTCCTCTGATATTTTTCTGCTGAATTCTGTTGGCAAAAATGGTCATTGCAGAGGACAAGACAGAAAAGTGCATTCCGTGAGAGGGTCCCAGCTGATAGCCTCTAGCACAATCAGATCCCAAGATCTCACCTAGAGATATCCCAGAGCTCCCAGCTTCCTGTTGCAAAATCAAAGAACTCGGAGCATTTTGACCTATCTGAATTCATTTATAATGGTGTGATTTCAGTATAGATTCTTCAAACAACTTTTTTTAAAAAGGGATAATTACCTAATGCT